GTTGAATCTTAGAAACATTAATAAATACACGTTATCATTTCTTTTATTTTAAACAGTGAGGTTAAAACTTAAAAACATAAAGGTAACTTACATTTTTAATCATCTGTATTATAAAATCAGGGTGAGTGTAAACCCAACTTAAATCACATAATAAATACATTGTTATCATCTGTATTTTTAAAGCAACAGGTGAGTTAGACTTAAACATAACTATTACAGTTGTATCAGTTTCTTAAGTTTAGAAACAGGTTGACGCTTAACTTAAGAACATATATTAAATTTACATTTTTCATTTCTTTATTTAAAAAATCCAGGTGAGTTGTGGTTAAGGCTTGATCACAACATAATTTAAATAACAGCTATCGATTCTTTATTTAAAACAGGTGAGCTAACTCTTCAAACTGATAAATACTAATATTCATTTAGTCGATCTTATTAAACAGGCGTGGAAGTTAACTTAAACAATTCTAATAAATGTTTTACCATTTAGATTTCTCCCGAGGAACTTTGGCTTTTTTTATATCACGAGTATACCAATTACAGGTAAAGTCTACAAACCCAGCTTCATGTGGTGAAAGGCTGTTTTAATACTTTATTAGTATACTTGGTCAAGTGGTCTGAATGCAGCAGCTCTGCAAAAATTGGCTACCTTTGCTAAACAGCTTGATGATGATCAGGATTTTGGTTCCAAAAACCTCTTCTATTTGGTTTCACTTCTAGCTTCTTTGCTATATTCATTGTTCACATCATATGAAGTGTTGCACCAGTCTTAGTTTTAGAATTTACTGGATAGCATTTCCAAACCTAGTTTTTTTTTTTTTTTTTTGTTTTACTATTTCCAATACTATTCTACATACCTCCTTCCTACACTCTTTCTAACTCATTCTACTCAGTGTACGTATCACAGTCCAACCTCTTAAATGTGTCGATTTATCCCCGTTACGTTATGGATTATTTGCTACAAGTTTTTCATTTATTTTATAGTTTAAAGATCTGGTATTGATGCCTATATTATTACTATAATATTTTTAAAACGTAAACAGATAACACAATAAACAGATTTTTGATTCAATTAAATTGGTAGATGTGTGAACAATATATGTAACCAACAGAACATTTCAATAATAATATACTTGTTAATGGTGGATAAAGTATGTAAGGTTGATTGTGTCTAAATAACCTCAATCTCATTTTTTTCTGTTGCTAGTTATACATACATACTGATACCAATATATCTATTGTTTGCTGATGCATTGAGCTCTACTTATTGCCAATAAACAAAGTACATCTGATCCTTACAGGCATGTCAGTTGTTTTTGCAGGTATATCCTCAAAACCAATGTGTGTTTTGTCCTGCTGGTGGTGCTAGAGGAAAGTCAGGAGATCACAAAAGTAATTGCAATTCATTCTGAGGAGGTCATGACTGTCTGAACTAAATTTCCTGACAATTAATCCAATAATTGTTGATATTTCACTCAAAACCATAAAAGTCAACCTGCTGTGTCGTTAGATCAAAAGTCAGGGACTCACCAGTCAATATCACTCCAAGATTACTACCACAAAAACACACATAAACACTGGTATTATACAAAAACATATTTATTATGACAGTATTAGTATATTATACAAATACGACTGCCCACTGTATAAAAATACAAAATCTTGATGTGTTTCGGGCATAAAAAATCATCTGACAAACCAAACTATCATTGATTAACTCTACTGTGTGTGTAGTCAGTTGAATGTAGCCCTGCGGTCTTATGTTTTATTGTTGAATGCTGCTCTCCAATCCTACGATATACAACAGGAGGTTCATTGCAGGTGAGACGGTTCAAAACTCAGAATGAAAAAGAATCCAACAGTAACTCAACTGTAGAAAAAACAGGTGTAACAAAGGCCTGCTAATAGGTATAATGGCACAGTTAAAATGGTAAGAAAAAAGTTAGTTTATCGTCACATTTACACCTCATATAAATGTCAGACCTTTTTTATTTATCTGTGTGTAAGTTCCTGTTGAATTCTTTTAAAGATACCAGTTGCTCTTTTTTAAAAAAACCTTTCAGGTCCTTGATAAAACTGACCATGTCAAACCATCTAAAAACTACAAAACTGTATGTACATGTAAGAATACAATGAATGTAAAATACAAAAAATAAAATAAAATTGAACTTCAGCTTGCCCAGTGACTGCCAATCGAACGCAATCCTCATTGCATTAAAGTCATTGTACAGCTGCCCTCACATAGATAGAAAATGATTGCAAGCAGTGGAAGATAAAGCTCAACGTGAAGGTTCATTAGTTACAACACATCATGCGACTATCCCTGCCCATGTCAGAGCCTCACTGCCGGTTTCACACAGTCAGACTCTGACTCCTCGCAGAAGGACTGGGCTCCAGTGAGGTGACGTGAAGCAGCAGGTCAAAGCAGGTTTAACTCCTCTCTTTGACTCAAGCCTCAACAGAAACACATGTGGAAATATAAAAAGAATGTATGGAGAAAAAATACACGCTATACTAATGTCTTAAAACATGCTTTTTTAATGCTTTTTATAATATAAAAATGAGATAAAGAAAAAAAAAGCTTATAGAAGTGGTTGTGTATCAGCAGTGAAGCTATGGTGTGTGTGACCCACTCTGTTTTTCTACAGCGGATCACGATTGTTGGAAATGATTGATCACAATTTTCAGTGTAAAAAAAAATCCCTGAAGGTTGCTGTTGTCCTTTTAAATTCTTAAAAAGTTTTTTGTTTTTCTTAGTGTAAATGGGATTAACCCAATCTTTATGTTACTAATTGCTAGAACATGTATTGTATAATGCTTCCTAATTACACATTTAAAGTCTACTTTACTGAAAATTACACAGCGTGTAGATATCTTTGCTCATGTTTCATAATTAACTAATCACTTTTTTTGTGTTGATGAGCAGAGTTCATCGTCTATATTTAATCACATCAGTACAACTTACAAATTGATATGGTGTAGCTGATTAATGATCCTTTACGTCTTCATTACTAGCTCAGTGGACGGTGGGCAGATATTTAAGCCTCTGCTTTGTTCTTTGAGTGATCAGCGTGAGCCAAGCTCTCCTCATGCTCGTCCTCCTCTTCAGGAACCTGGAAAACATGCAATCCAAATTATTATGTCTGCATCATAATGAAGCATACCTAAATGAGACATGACTGTGTGTGTTATGAACATTAAATAATTATTGCTGTATATGCTGAACCACCTGGGCGGAGTTTACCAGCAGAGGATACAACAAAGAGTATCAGAGTGCTTTTTTCTATCAATGGAAGTCTGAAAAGTCTTGATTATAATCATGTAGTGAACCACAACCATCTAATATAATCCCCAAACCACTAATTTAATAACCTGAAAAAGTATTGTACTGCTGCGTCTATCACTTGTGATACTTTATAATATTTATGAGTAATGGGGATTCCTTACCTCCCAGTAAATAGAGTCATCGAAGCAGTTCTTGTCTGGAGGCTGTCCCCAGAACGGCAACTTCATTATTAAACCTTGAAGAAGAAAATGAATTGTTTGATCAGTCAGGTGTTGTCCCTTTATGTTAAATCATAAGAACGAAGGCCTTTCCCATCGACTGACAAACCCCCGTGCTTACACGTGTAACTGTCATGTGTCACATTTATAGTCTAATTTTTCACCTCCACCCACCTGTAACAGCACCTCCAACCAGAGCGAACCCGAGGGATGAAGCCAAGGCAGCAGCTTGCATGGCAGCATTACCTCTGAAGAGGAGGATGAAGAGGAGGAGGAGGAGGAGGAAAGGGGGAAGACAGGAAGGTAAGAATTGACATGTAACTGAAACATTAAAATTACTTCAAAGATACAAAATCGTTATGTGTGTATATATATATATTGTTTGTGTATTTGTGTACATGTATATGTAAGATTTTTGGTTAGCAAAATGGGCCTTACCCCTCTTTTTTCCCCAAAGCCACAGCCACAATACCAGCCAACCCGCCCAGGATGCCTGGCATGCCGTGCAGATTGTGGACTCCGCAGGTATCCTGGATTCCCAGGTTGGCTGCCAGGATGGGCTACAGAGGAGAGAAAAAAGGCTTCATGTTGCAGTCAAAATGAGTGTCTTTTTAAAAGGTGAAGTAGGTATTTTGATTTAAAAAATGGGCAAGCGCCTTCATATCGCCAAAATACATACGATTCCATCTATATAATGATATTTTGCAACTAATTTTCACCATTGGTTGGTCTCCAGATCATTTACTCAATTAAATTTGGTGTAGAAAATGCTCATCTCAGCTTTCAAGAGCCCAAAGTGATGTTTTCAAATATCTTGTCCTGTATGACCAACAGTCCAAAACCCAAAGATACTCATTATCATCAAAGAAGAGTAAAAAAAAAAAAAGATATATTCACATTTGAGAAGCTGGAACAATTTATTAAAGTTTTGCTTTAAAAATACTTTATTAATCTATCTCTTAACGTACTAGTCAATTTATTGACTTATCATTTACACCATACATTTTAAAAACTTAAAATAATGAATGTGCTTTTTTCATTTTGCAATCTTTGCTTTAACTTTCGACTCACACTCAGGAACTTGAAGCCCAGAGTAGAGATGATACCAGCCACAAATCCAATCAACATTGCCCCAAATGGCCCAATGTTCATGTCGGCACATGTTCCCACAGCAACGCCACCAGCCAAGGTGGCGTTCTGGATGTGCACCTGTAGAAATATGAAAACAAGTATATTACTTAATTAGTTTTAAAAGAAATTCTTAATAGTGTAATTGTGGATATTAAAAGAAAGTTATCCGACCATGTCCAGTTTTCCTTTGTGCTCCACGAGGCTTGAGATGGCATAGGCAGAGAGCACGCAGGCAGCCAGGGAGAGGTAGGTGTTGATCACAGCTGTGAGTTGAGTGACACCCGGTTCAGCGATGGCCGAGTTAAAACTGGGCCAGAACATCCACAAGAAGACGGTTCCTGTAGAAGAGAGTCATGAAGACATTTATGTATCAATTCATCTTGAAAGTCTCATTCATATCACATCACACTGCAGGTGAGATATAGATTTAAGAATCTAAGAGGTCCTCAATCACTGTATCCGCCGCAAGGTTATTTGTCTCCACTAGGTGGCACCAACCAAATACATGCAGGAGGCCATTGATGAACCATGCAGGGTTAAATAAAACATATTCCTTCTGTAAACACTGTATACTTTTAAAGTTTAACGCTCTTACCAATCATAGCAAACAGATCGGAGTGATAAACAGATCCGTCGTTCTCATGTCCGTTTCTTAAACTTGGTCGGTAAAGTACTCGAGCCACTGCCAGGCCAAAGTAGGCTCCGTAGGCGTGGATGATCATGGATGCTCCAACATCATTAGCCTGGGAAAGAAAAGGTGATGCAGACCCAAAACAGAACAATCACATCAATCCATGTTTTAAAAAGTAGAGTTCACACAATGTTCCTGCTCATGTAGTTCATCAACTCGTGAATGTGTCATTTTGTACTTACTTTGAGGACATTGGCCACCAAATGTTCATTGATGGAGAAGATGGTGATCTCCAGTATGGTCATGATGAGGAGCTGCACTGGGCTGGTTTTACCCAGAACAGCCCCGAAAGAGATCAGCACTGTGGCTGTGCTGAAGTCTGCATTAATCATTCTGCAGGAGAGAATTATAGGATGATAAAGAGGCAGAACACAAGAAGCCACATTGACTCAGCAGCAGCCAACAGGAAGAGTCTTTGGTTTATTGAGCTGCTACTAAGTGGAGGATGTATATATTTATATTTATATATTATAACTGCATAAATGTTAATTAGTTGGTGACTGATTGACAAAACATGCAAGAAAAGACATTCGTACTTGAAGATGTCGATTTTGATCTTGCCATGGTCCATGTGCCAGAAGCCCTGCATGAGGAGGCCCCACTGCAGGCCGAAGGCAGCCAGGAGTAAGTTGACGCCCACGCTGCTGAACCCGTATCTCTTCAGGAAGGTCATCAGGAACCCGAAGCCGATGAAGATCATGACGTGGACATCCTGAAACACTGGAGGAATGAGAAGGGAGGTCAGTTCTGCTGCTGATTCCATGACAGGGCCCTGCTTTGTTGGGAGAGTCCCACTTTAGCCTCGGCTAAATGTGGAATTTACTTCAATTAGAAATTAGCCATTTGCTACGACTCCACTGTTCACTGTGGTATTTTTTGGACTTTGTAGTTTAAAGGATTTCACAGGAGTCGTTTCAATTCCACAGGGGCTGTATTGTCAGCCGTGACCTGTTAAATGGAAAAGCAATTCAATAAAACTATGAATGGAATTCTGGGAAAATGCTCCCGCTGTTCCCATTGAGTTTGTGACCATGTGCTGTTTCTATTAAGTGCAAATGGTCTTAATAAGTTTAAACTTATGAAGTCTCTGGGGGAGGGTGGAGGGGACTTTTAGCACACCCTTATCTATTAGTCTCAGTCGGACAAAGACAGCAGGGTTTTGGAATTTGCTAGGATGTTTAATTATCCTTTTAGCCTCACTCCACTGGCTGCCTATTTACATGCAAGTTAAAACTGATGAATTGGAGTTCTGGGGAAAATGGCCTCCCGCGTTTCCATTGAGTTTGCTGACCATGTGCTTGGTTCGTCTATTAAGTGCAACATGGTTCTTAATAAGTTGTTGAAAGACTTATGAGATCTCTGGGAGGTGGTGGAGGGGACTTTTTAGCAGCACCCTGCTATTCTATTTAGTTTCTCAGTTCCGGCAAAGACAGGCAGGGTTTTGGAATTTTGCTAGATGTTGAAATTTATCCGCAGCCTCACTCCACTGGCGTTGGCCTATTCGAAATGGGCATCCATTCTTGTAAAATTCTTTATTTGCTTTAAATCGCTGAGATGGTCTTGCCGCGCCGCCCCTCCTCTGCTGAGGCTTCTACACCGCCCCCTAGTGATACCCTCCGGCTCTTCTCAGGGTAGATGATCAGGGCTGCCTCCTGAGTTGCCTAAACTAAGCGAAGCTCAGGGAGGGGACCGTGCCTTTGCTGTGGTCTGGCTCCCTAAATCTATGGCAATGCATCTGCCCTCTGGCCACATTAATATTTATCAGGCCTTGCTTTCTTCTGTCTGTTTTTAAATCCCTTCTTAAACAACCCAATCCTTCTCTCTGTGGGGCTTTGGACACTGTCAGTAAGATGTCGACTTATTTAACTTGGATTTTGAATTTTTCTCGTATTTTTGATTGCCTTTTTTATTGGCTGCTATTATTTTTCTCATGTTTTTTTATGTCTTTCATTATTGGTTGTATTTAATATGTAATTTTTTGCCACCTTCAGTGAGCCTTGTTATTGTCTTCTATTTGATGGCTGTTTTATTTATTCTCCTTGTTACAGCCACTTTGGTCAACTTTTGGTTGTTTTTTAAAGTGCCTAACAATAAAGTTGGATTGGATTGGATTACATGATGTTTGATCAGCAGTAACGACGATGTAAAAACATCAAGCTCTTTACGTGGAGATACTCTGTAAATCTGGGCTAAGGCTTGGTAATTGTGGGGGAATTTTTTTCCGTAGAACTGGGCGACCCGCTCCCCCAGGAGTCATCATCATGACAGGAAGTGGGACTCCTGTTTCTCAAAAGCCTTCAAGCTTGATATGATGAGTCCCTCATGTGGAAAACAAATCAAGGTGGACGTGTGCGCAGGCTGAGGAACAATGCACTTAATTTCCTCAGTCCGTAATGAGTGTGAACGTAGCCACTATTGTCTAGACAGGACACAATTACTTTTATCTTTGAAATAGCCGGTATTTACTGCAATCTTAAAGGAATAGTTTGACATTTTTAAAAAAATTGCACCTATTCTTTTTGTTTTGAGCGATCCAAACCACTCTCAGGTCTGTGCAGGAATATAAACCTACCACAAACACATGGTCAGCTTTGCTCAGCCCAACAGGGGGAAACAGCTAAACTGCTAACCAGAAAAAAAAAAAAAAACGCCTCTTAATCTTACTAATTAACACATTATATCTCATTTGTTTAATTTCTGTAATTTCTGCAATTTCTTGTAATCATCATAAGGTTGCCAGGCAACATGTGGAGACTACATAAAGTCACTGCACCGAGCCAGAAAATAGTCTGGCATATAACCCCCCCACATAAAACCACAACATGTTTCTTTTACAGTTTTGTACCGATTAAACAAACAAGCTATAACGTGCTACTTTGTGAGCCTTAGAGGTTTTGGTAAGTGGATGTTGTTATGGAGACAGGCTAGCTGTTTCCAGTCTTTGTGTTAAGCTAAGCTAACTAGCTGCTGGCTGTAGCTACATTTACCGTACAGACAAGAACAGAATATCGATCTTCTCATTTAATTTTGTAATAGTGTATTTCACAAAAAGCTGTACATAGTATGTCTTAATCCCATACATGATATGAGGAAAACAAGTATGCATGCAACATTTTTATGTATCAAACAATCTGCCTGCTTCAGGATACATTTCCACACAGCAGGCACTAAACTGTGACAGCTGTAGACAGACTAATGAGGGAGTAAACTATATTTAAATATGTCCCTTGGTAAAAAGTGAGTAATGACAAATGTCTGCATCTACTTTTTTGATGCAGAATCTGAACATGCTACAATTTGAATACTGTATAATAGTTTCTAGACATGCTCTTATAGGGTTCTTAATCATTAACTAATCTGCTAGCAAATCCAGAAATGTTGTTTAATCTCATAAAAGCCCAGCAATAATTGAGAGTTGGGAGCAAATTTATTGTGGGCATTACGTGTCAGACCACTTCCGCGATGGATTTTACAAGAGCGAACAGTTGATAACGAACAATTTGCGTTGATGGGTCATCTTTAAATACCCTGATGTGTACCTATTTACTGCTACATAACATGTGGTCAGCATTTTTTGCATTCAGCACTGAGCGCTGATATCTGCAGCAGCAAGTCGAGCTGTAAATATTTGATTTGGCTAATATCCATGGAGCTGTTTTTGAAGAAAACCTGTTTGCCTTCAGCTTGCACTTTGACCCTCCCTCCCATTCACAGCTGGGTGATTCAGACTTGCTTCCCTTGTATTTGGGGCTTCTAGTGAACAGTAGTTTGAGGATGGAGAGGAGGTAAAGTTGGAAAGCAGCTGCAGTGACTGGCACCACGCCCAGATGTTAGGTAATCTTCTGAAGAACTGGGTGAGCCAAGAGGAGCGAGGGAACTGTAGTGCAGGAGTGATGCAACCAGTGCAAAAAGATAAATTATTATTTCATTTTTTAAAATGCTGGATTAGCAACTGTCATTGCCCCTCGTTTTCATTCTGCATTAAGATAAAACCAGAATTTATTTTGGTCATTTGCATCATTTTATAATTGATATAATTTGCTCCAGAATAGCTTTTTCTTGCTCCAGTCCACATTTCTCGGCATAGTGGTCTTCTTTTGGGCCTAATCACAGATGTCTGGAATGCGTTGGTTAGTAGATCTCACTGCACGCAACCGCAAGCCTTCACGTTATGCAATTGCATTTGAAATGGTAATGGCTATAGCTCTTTCTGCATAATTAAAATACTTTATGTGCCTGTTTGATATTTCTATCTTCAAATATGTCCCTTAACATCTTATATATTTTTATTTTTGGTCTTTAAAAACCTAGTGTGATTAAAAAAGGAAAGAAAAAAGCAAAGTAATGCTAGAAATATAAACCATATTTCTAGACAATGTTTTATCTAAAAAAACATCCATATGAAGTGTAAGATATGCTTAGCCTTAACGCTGAGCTAATCTCTGTGGGCCACACCTGCCCCACCCAGTCATGAGCAGACATTCATATAGGAAAACAGCAGTTTATAGTTGCACCCTGTCTACAATGCAGCTGCAATAAAAAGACTGCTTTTAAATGCTACACAAAATCAAAAAAACAGCATTTTCTTGCCCCATCTACCATCTGTCGTTGTTATTTAGTTTTGAAACATTAATTAAAATCACATGTGACCTCCACTGTAAGAGACCTGACACTTTTCTCTGCAGGATCCTCAGCTGTATGCGTATGAATAGACTTTGTGACGGATGAGAATGCGACCCCATGACTCCTCTTATTGCATTCAGCAGACCTGCTTTGGAAACAGCATCCAAATTCTTCTATTTCTGTTTGCAGGTAATTGGAAAATGACATCCTTAAAATCGATTTCACATTATTCCAATGAAGGTGGGCTTTTTCAGTTCACTAAACAATTCAAAGTTCGAGACTAGAACCTCAGAGAACCAAAACTTGGAAATGTGGAAGATTTGTTGATTTATTAGTTTTAAAATATAGATCATCATTTCAGTCAGGACATTGCCCCTGTTAGGTGTCACAAAGCTTTGCTGGATATTTTTAACTCTGTTTTAATGTGAATTTTTTCCATTTAACAAGAATGTTAACCTCAAAGCTACAGCAAAGGTAGTCTGCCAGAGCCATTAAATAAAAACTCCAAAAATGGTCTAGTGACCAAACACAGAGGCATCCAGGAGCAAAGCATCCCTCAGCAACCAATCCCAGGTACACTTACTGGGGTAAAGTTCCGTGGGTGATTTTTCATGGTGAGTCTCATTCGAGTGTGTGTCGTGCCCGTGACCTTTCCCGTCATCATAGTCCGCAAACACGCCAAAAAGGATGATGGTGATAATCTCCAAAACCAAGGCCAAGATGGGGAACTTAAACCTCATGTTGGTGGAGTAGGCAGGCATCCTGAGATCAACTCTGGTTATCTTTCACAGTCTGACACACACACGCACTCACTAACTCTGTCTGCCTATCCCTCCCTATCTGTCTTTTTTAGGGGTTGTGGTGTGTGAGGGGAGGGAAGAAAGTGGTGTCTGGTTTTAAACTGATGCAGGTTTCGTGGTGACCAATAACAGTGCAGGAGACTGGGGCCTGGGTGGTGAACACCCCCCTCGTGCACTTTGCTCGCGGGGATGGGTTTCCTCTCTGGACTTCGGAGGGGACAAAGCAAAACACAAACGTAATGACATTCAGCCAGTGAGCGGACATGGGAGAAATACTTAATGACTGCTCCTTCCTACTCATTTTTCACTGTCAAAGTTATGTTTGTTGACTTGTTTACATAACTTTAATGTTTGGACTGATGCATTTCTTTCAAGTCTTACTTTACAAGAAGAAGAACATTCTTTAAACATTTAAATAAAAACATGTCTCCATAAAGATATAGATATAGTTGCTAATCACAACTCAAGAAAAGATAAAGAAGCTTTCATACAGTTACTTTTTTTTGCAAAAGATTCCTCTTTTATCCGCTCTACTGAACACTGTTCCTCTTTCTCAGTGCAGATGAACTTAAACACTGTTCCCTTGATATTAAATGATTTTCCAGTTTCTTGACTCATGCACCTGTCACTTCATATACATTAAAGGTAGCAACTCTATATATAAGACTAAATTTAATGTTTTAAGTTTGTATACAGTTAAAAAGTACAAAAGTATGATCAGTAAAATTGACATTAAAGTATCAAAAGTACTTTGTTATGGTGAAGTCACAGGTGGTGCAAGGAAGGTAGCGTACGAGTACAGTGGATAGGACCCAAATGCAGACGACTGTTGCAGTTTAATGATTTAGTAATTGCAAAAATAGGTACACATATGAAGTAAGTGAGGCAGTCAAGGAAAGCAGTCCCAGACAGTATCCAAAAGGGATCAGACAAGAATCTAAAGTTCAATAAAACAGGCAGGTTTCAGGTTTTCAGATTCAAAGAGATGCTTGAAAGCAAACACATGTTAAATCAACAATCCTGCAGAGAACAATGGAAGTTGACCAGTAAATGGTTGATGGCTGATGACCAAGGGAATGAGATGCAAGTAAGGAGTGGGTGGAGTAGGCAGGTTAGTGCAGGGCTGATGAGTGACAACAGGTGTGTAGATGGGTGTGGCAACTAGGTGATGGGAAAAGGAGGAAAGGTCTGAGGGCATCTGGTGGACAGCTCGAGGATGGCAGGTGTGGGGAGTTAGAGGAAAGTATGTAGCCTGTGGGAAGTGAGCAACGGCTCGAGAGCAATGCAGAAGGCTGAGGGTGAGAGTGTGGCTGAAGAGAGGGACTGAGGAACAGATCGGGACTATAAGCGCAGTTATAACTGGTTAATCTATCTATAATCATTGTGGTGTCTGTGAAGTCACTACTGTTTTTGCACACAAATGAAGGACAAAAAACCAAAAGAAACCAACTAAGTAGTAACAGTAAGAAGACCCAGGGGTCAGAGGTCGTCAAGAGGGTTCCAGGGGATTTCTAGCAAAAAGGGGAAACATTTATTTTAACTATAATCCTACTCATATGTAACACAATGACATATTGTATGTTTAATGGGTTTCATACACTTTATGTGATAAAACAATCTTATCAGATAGGGGGGAAATATATCATAAAATTGAGGTCTGTGGTCTAATTTGTGTCTGTTTGAGAAATATTGAGGACCACTGATATACAACACAAAGAATATGCAGGTACAGTGTAATAAGAAGACAAAATGTACATTTGTATGTTCAAACAATAATTTTATATAGACGTGGAGCAGGTTTAGCTGGACAACAGGCAGTGAGTCTCTGCCCAAAACATATCAGGATAACTTTAACTGTCAAATAAATGTGGGTAAAATATCAATAATTAATAAATATAATCATAAAATTGCAACTACAAGTATTTCAAAATTGTGACAAATTTCATTAATTTCAGCTTTCCACCACTGAATCCAGGCAGGGAAGATGTGGCCTCTTTGAAGCTCTTTTTAGTTGTCTCATGTTGCTTTGACAAACATTGCACATTGTCACTCTACCCATGACCGACCCATGACCCCCTACAGACAGTGTATGTAACCATGATCAGGTTACCTCATACTTCAAGTTCTTTTTTACCATCAACTGTTACACAACTACATGCCTGTGCTACATTTCCCACTGGAAACTATCCAAGCTGGCTCCTTCGGTCTGGGCCTGCAGGTTCTGATCCAGTAAGTGGCTCCCACAGTGAGCGCGGCGACAATCTGAGGGCCTCTTACCAAATTACCTCAGGCCAGAGGTCCTTCATTATAGGCCAAAAGCTTTATGAATGAGCAGAGTAGTTAATCACTGCCAGCAACACATCTTTATTTGTCCTGGAGCGGAGCGCGGTGAGGACTTTTCCCAGACCCTTTGGGAAATTACTACCAAATGTTGACAGATATCAAAAAGTTTGATAGAACTAATCTGCTTGTGCTGACTCCTTGTTCAATCACTGGGCACCTACACAGTTTTACTTTAATATTTGGCAGAGGCTGTTTCAACAGGCGGAGCTGTGGTTAGTTCACACACAACTGAGCTAACTGGCAAAGTTGAACAGCATGGGGAGGATTTGTGGTCCAATTGCCACAGTCAATCATTCATGACGGTAACAGACACTCCCTCACATTACTGTAGCTTTCTCTTTTTAAAGCTCTTTATTGTTTTTCTGTCTATTAATTACAAAACAAACCGTGGCTGTTTGACTCCTCCCATGTAAGCTAACTTAGTATTTTTGCCCCCAGACTAGCTCTAACCCTGAGAAATGTTTGTGTAATAGTGAAACTCCAGTCTGCAAGTAACCCATTATTATGTCTACAGTTTTCCGGAGGATCAACTTTTCTCAGCTCAGCTGTAATGTGTCAGCATTTTGACAGCGAACATGAGAACTGTTTATGTAGTCAGGACTGTTCAATAACAGTAAACACTGCTGAGTCTCACATTTCGCAGAGGGGTGTCCCAGAGGTACCAGTGTGCTTAGGTTGTTAACATATGTTCTCTAACCTCTAACAGGCATGATCCAGTGTCTCGATCAGACATTGAGACCGATAGACTGATGATGGTAACATCCTACAATCTCCTCACTGTCAGTAGATTGATAAGACTCATGTGTTCCAGTTAGTATAACAGAGACTGTTTGAACTGAATAGAGCAGAAACTTAATTAGTATCATTGGTAACACCTGTGTTTGCCCTATTTTGTGTCAAAATGGCTGCTGTGAAAAAGGTCTATGTCATACTGTTTCTTTAAAGGCTCAGACACACCAGCATTTAAAGATGCTAATCTTTTTTTAAAAATTTCAATGGAATTTGTGGATTCATTGTAAATCTATACAATTTTTCATGCATCAAGCTCAACTTTAGTTTACTATTGTATATGCGTTTATGTTTATAGTAAGTCATGTTGTTTTTCCTTCCTCTTTAATTACCCACTTAATGAATGAAATGAAGAGGCTGAGAGAGGTATGCGCTAGGATATTCCCGGCTTGCTAGCGTGTAAGTGGTTGGCTTGCAGCTGTGCAGGAACTAGCCATGTGAATAGTCTGAATAAATGCTTGCACTGATTGACTCTTCACTGAACCTGTGATGTTATTGTGATGGTATTACGTCAAATTCTGGCTCTTTCTCTGTGTTGTAATAAGCTTTGCCAGTCTCAAAGGGAATAATTTGGTGCTTTCGTCAAACAAACCCTATTATTGCCGCTGGAAATAAATGTGTTGGTTTGTTTAGAATCTCGCAGAATCGGAAAAAGTTTCAACATTAAAGCAACAAAGCGCAAAAAAAAAAAAAACACCAAAGCTAAACAGCTAAATCCTTTATCAGCTCAAAGCACTTGTAATCTAGCCTCCCTGTGAACTTCACATTCCAGGAAAACCATTAGGCAATTTATCTCCGCTCACTCACAACCCCACCGTAAAGCGAAGATTTGTATAAAGTAAACAAGCCATCAGGCCCAAATGTGCTCCATCCTTTGTCTCGGATCCCCCATGTGCCGTTATGCAACATACATGACTACATAGACGTTGATGTTGAAACCAGACCTACTGTACAGTTGATCCTCTATTCGCTCGGTCCATCTGTCACAGACAGGAGTCTCGCTGTAATGGCAAGACAACTCGGTGAGTGTAAGGGATCAAAGAGCCAAAGGAATTGGATGATAGATGACTACTTTAGTTCGCTGTAGTTTTCTGCGTCAGGACATTCCTGGACAGGCGCTGTCATATGCAAAGGTCAAACTGAGGTTTAAAGATTCATTGCCTCATGTATACTTCTAGTTATTGCCTTTTGATGAAACTCCCCACATCCAGGAAGTCCTTTCATCAGAGCAGATACTGTCTGTGGAAAAGTCAGTTTTCATGATGGGAAAAGTTTAATTTATTTATTGAAAAACTCATTCAATTGATAGAAAGGTTCCATCCACTGACACCTGAAGCAGTCATTCATTTAAGTCTATCATATTTCTCAGTACACTGACTCTTATCTCTTGTGTGTGTGTGTGTGTGTNNGTGTGTGTGGGGGGGGGGGTGATCACCATGTTGCAGCTGACATGTTTGTATGGACATTCCTCCATGTGGTTTGTTCAGCTCTTTCTCATGCAAAGGTCAACTCCACATGCATCGTTACTGGATGCCCCAAAGTATTAACTTCTTATCACTTGTAATGAGGACTAGTATGTCCTCATAAGGATTCCTCCTTTCACACTGCATGATACAGACCTCTGCACTCGTGTGAAGCTACATCCATGCCTCTTGTTGGATACCCGGGAGATCAACACAGCATTCCTCAGTTTGGAGGATTCCTCCTTATGGAGATATGTATATAGCTGATTGGAAACATAAGCCCAGTGGTGTGACAGACAAAAGCCAGGTCCTTTCTCCTCATTAATCAGAACTGTAAAGCAGTTTTGTTGGGTGGGGTAACTAAATAACATCACATACAGCTTAGTACATGAATGTACGTGAGCTCTGCAGAGCTTTGCATGAGAAATATCTTCAATAATCCAGCCTGATTTATGAGGCCTGATAAATAAAGGGAGGAGGGTTCC